TCCAGAATTGTGTGGAAGGAGATCACACAAAGGCATGGATAGGGGAGTCATGATTTATTGAGGGCCATTAATGTAGCAATCTCCCATTCATGGGCAAATCTCACTCATCTTTAAAGGCTTAGTTCATGCTTCACCTCATCCAAGAAGCCCTCTGTGACAAGCTGGGTCATCAGTTGTCCCTCCTTTGACTCCAATAGTTCCCTATACATATCCCTACCTCTGCACTTACCCTACTGTTTTCTAACTATGTGTATGCCATTTCTGTCTCCCCCACTGGAACAAGCCTTTAAGGGCAAAGATTGTGTTCTATTGATCTTTGTATTCCTAGGGTCTAGCCCTCTGCCTGGAACATTGTTGGTGCCAATAATACTTTTAATTATTGGATTAATTAAACATCCATGAATAAAGTTTTTAAATAAATAACTGTTAAAGTTAAGTTATATCTCCATTGGTGCTTTCTCCTCTCAACCTCTGCCTTGCATTCTAAGAGATAACCTTTATTTTTTATTTGTCACACTCTCCAACCCAACATGCAGGTCTTCAGAGAGCTGACCTCACTCGGCGAGTTGACTTCAACTAGAGATTGGGAGAAGCAGTAGAGTGTAGAGCAGAGGCCCCAAGATTTTTAAGCTGCATAGACTACACACATTTCCAAAGAAGACTGAGATCAATAGAAAGTTGCCAATTTTCTTTTTTTTATCAAGTAAGGACATTAAAAACACACATACACACATCATCTACTACCACCACTTCATAAGAGTGGAAAGGTATAACCTTAGAATGAAAGTATAGGAAGGGCAGGTGTGTGGCCTCGATTAGCCCAAAATTAGGGTTTAATATTATGTGCTGCCATGACATCTGACAAAATTAGGAGGGCCGAATCAAGAGGCCTAACGACAAGTTCCCCTCTCTACTCTGCTGCTAAGTTCCCCCAGCCAAACAATCCTTCTTATCATGGAGATCAGGAGTTCCTGCCTATCCCAGAGTTGTGGGCTTCAGTTCTCTGCCAGCCTGCAGAATTACTCAAGTAGCCAATCACACCTTCCTGCAGGAAACAGGGGGCATCTCATCCGTTTGATACTACGAAGCCTGCCTCCCATAGCTCCTGGTTGTTCGTTCTGTTTCTGAGTGCAACTCCTATGTAGCAATTCATGGCATGTGGTGTCCTCCTCTGTGGGCTGTGAGTATACGTGATTAGTAAACTGCTATAAATCTCATCTGTCCAGTGTTGTGTGTCATGTGTCAGCCATCCCCATGACACTAGCGGGTGGGAATCTCTCCCTCATCAATAGGGTGAAGAAGAGATGACCAAAACAACATGGCAACCTGACAGCTCTGTTCAGAGTACCCCACACTGTCCTTGGTTTTCTTATTTCACCATGGACCAGTGAAATCAGTCTAGCAGAAGTCTGAAGACCCACCCTGGAGCATTGCAAAGAACTGTACATGGAGTCAGGAGACCTGAGATACAGCTAGTTCTGGCTGTGCTCCAAAGTATTTGTCTGACCTTTGACAAATCATTACCCTTCTTGGGTCTCAGGTCCCAGCTGTGAAATAATGGGAGGCTTCTGCACTCTGTAAATACTCTCTGATGAAACCAGTGAATACGAAGAGTGTACAGCTAGCAGTCCCTTGATCATCAAAGGAATGTGCATTTACAGAGGAGTTTTACCTCCATGTGTCTCTGGCTGGGTCAACAGGAGGTGGTGGGGGGATAGGTCTAAGGGACCAACAGGGCAGCTACATTGGAACAGGAAATCTTGACTTGGCTGGATTCCTCTAAACCCTTACTGCTTTCAACACTCTGATTCTGTCCATTAGTAAATGAGCATTTTTAAATCTCCTCCCCTTCACTGCCCTGTGTCCCATCCCAGAACCCCAGACCTCCTCATTTGAGCCATTAATTCCATCCAACTGGAGACCTTGCTTTAGCAGATGCACAATTGCCACACCCTCTACTGTCCACGCTCCCCTCCTTTTCCTGTAGGCAAAGTGCTTGGGGACCCAGAAAGTAGGCCAGGTCCTTGTAACCTTATCAAAATAGCACAGCTAGGCCTTCCACCCAGAAACACTCAGAGACAGGGCCACAGAGTGGGAAACAGAACACCCAGGGCCTCAGCCAGCCGGAGCCCAGACACCTTCTCTAGTTAAGGGGCCTCTGGGTATCCCCATATCCTACCAAAAAAAGAAAGAAAGAAAGGAACCACCTCCAGCCCCTAGCTCTGTGTGTGTGTCTGTGTGTATGTGTCTGTGTGTGTGTCTGTGTGTCTGTGTGAGAGAGAGAGAGAAAAAAAGAAAGAGAGAGAGGAAGAGGGTTAGGTCCCAAGCTAAAGCAATTGTGTTCTGATAGGAAAGATCCCTGGACTGAGAATCAGAAAGCTATTAAACAGGAAGGAACACTCTGTCATGGAGTAACAGGGAGGAGGCCAGCATGTCTGGAATGCAGCAGGAAGATGAATGGGAAAAACGGGGTGATGAAGGTCAGCATCCAGAGGCCAGGACATGCAGGGCCTTACAAATTACCCTATGACCAATGAGAAGCCAGGGTAGCTCATCTCTGAAGAGCCGTGGTCTTACCAGATCGGTGTGCTGAGTCCCCAGCCCCTGGGAGCTGGTGGAAAGCAGAGACTCAGTCAGCGCTAGCACTGGATTAAGGAAGTCCCAGGCAGGCAGGAACAGCTGTATCTCTCATAAAGTGCCCCATTGTGGTTTACCAAAGTGCTAGCCCCTTTGTTCTATCACTGGGAGACCACCTGACTCTCCCAGGGAGAGAGGGAAGTGAAACTCCCACTTGCGAGCCCAGCACTCGCTGTGTTGGATGGCTTCTAACAGTGCCATGACAGTGTCGGAAACTGCAGCAAAGGTGCCAGGACTGACGACTGTGAAGAAATAGGAGAACGCGCAGGCAGAGGGCTGGCAGGCAGGGCAGCCCACAGGATGTCCCCACCAGAACTCGCACAGAGGCCAGGAGGATGCAAACTAACCAAAAAACCTTGGATCAAAAAAATTCACCACATCTGTGGGTGGGAGAGACAAGTCAGCAGCACTGGCTGTGAAAAAAGGCCTGAGGGCTTCCAGTGACATCGAATTGATGGGGTAGATGGGACGCCCCAAGGGATCAGAAGCTGGGTCTCAGCCTACTCCTTACCAGGCAGTCGTCTCCTCCCCTTTCCCAGAGGTCCAGTCCTTCCTCCTGCACTGGGCTGGGCTGCAGCAGAGTGGTGTGGCTGGGCTCCGAGGGTTCGGGGCTCCACAGCCTGGGTCAGTGGGCCAGCTGTCCCACTTGCTCACCCTGAAATGGGATGGGAAGTGGGAGGAGACAAACCCAGCGGTTGGGGCCGGGTCATGTGGCCTGGGTGTACTGTGCACAGCACAGTGCTTGGTAGAGGGCCCAGCTCCATCCCTTGTCTGATTACCAAAAAGCAGACAGTACCCACGAAAGCGACAAGAACCCTCTCGCTGTTTGGGTGGGGAGGTGCCAGCCCAGGGGCTGAGGGAGACGTGACAGCCCCAGAGCAGCAAACACCAGCAGGTTCCCCTGAAGGGCTGGGTGCTCTGGAACAAAGGAGGGGGTGTGACAGGGCTGGGGACCAGGGAAGGACGGTGCAGTGCCCCATATGGAAAAACACCCAACCGGCTGCTTTTGAGAAAGACAAATATTCCAACTCCCAGACCTCTCACTGGAGGCTCCGGAGGGGGTGAACTGCAGTTGAAAAGAAGACACGGAAGCGTGGGCAGTGCCCAAAGTGACGGGTTGCCAGCCTCCATCCGGCCCTCCTTACCCCCTGGTTTTCCCACAGACTTCTGAAGAATAGGTCAGAAGAAAGGATTAAAGCTTTCAAAGCAGAGCGATCAGCGAGGTGCTCAGGGAGGCGGCTGATGTTCTTTGGGCTGCCCCACCCTGATCCCCGGGGTCCCGAACCCTCCCGTCCTGGCCAGGCCTGACGGACACAGGGCTAGGTCCCCCATCTGCAGCAGCCGGCCGCTCTCCCACACCAACACCCGGCGCCTTCTCCTCCCTTCCCCGCCCCCCTCCATCATCCTTTCTCCCCTCTCAGCCTCTGATTGGCTGAGCCCCCGGGCCCTCCCCGCCCCCCGCTCCCCCACCCCTGGTGAAAACTGCGGGCGCCGAGCAGGGTGCAGCAACTGGAGGCGGCTGCGCGTCTGGAGGAGGCTGCAGCAGCGGAGGACCGGAGCCCAGGTGGGAGCTGCAGCAAGGGCGGAACCGAGGGCGCGGGGAGAGATGCCGGTGCCCCCGCGAGCCCTCCCATCCCGAGGCTTCGGGAGACTGTCCGGGGCGCGCGGAAAAGGAGCGTCGCAGAGCTCCGGGAGGGACCTGCTTCCCAGGCAGGGGCGGGAGTGGGACGCGATTGCAGGGCAGGGACCGCGCCGCACCCGGTCTTTCGCGGAGGCGCTCCTGGGCTTTCGCTCGCTGGGGGACTGGGGCGCTGGAGAACAGGGAGGAAGGGCGCCAAGGACAGTCTTCGGTTCTGCTGTCCACCCAGACGTCCCCAAACCCAGGGCGCAAAGGTGGGTGGGGGTGGGCATGGGAAGTGAAACTGCGGGGAGAGGACGGAGGATGGCAAGCTGGAGGAAATCTCTGCCCGGTGACCTCTCGGCGGGCTGGGTGCGGGGCACTGGAGGAAAGGGAAACCGCAGTGCCGCGGGCGGGGACTG